AGCTTTTTAGCAGGGCATCAACAAAAGAACAGAAAGACCTTCAAACGTAAAGTCTAGAAAATAAGTTTTGAATCAAATCTCTTAATATTATTTTTATCATCTATCATCATTTCAAGTGTTTTAAGTTTAATGTAACTATTGCTTAAGACAAATACATTTTTTTTTATATTTACGTTATTATATAGCCACCTATACTTATGACACGTTCATTGCACGTGTGTCTTACCAGTTGGGTGAATAAGTGGCAAAACAAATTTGACTTCTCCTAACAACATTGGTAGAAAACTCATGGGCAAGTAACAGTGTTCCTTGCATTGTGAATTTTGCAGAAGGCCTTAGTTTTTCAGTTTTTGTCCTTAGATTTGACTTTTCAACTCCCATTAATTTGACACGGGCTTGTATTACTTGCAACAATTTTTTTCCAATCGTGTATGTGTCAACATTTGTTCTGTGTCATATTGTGCTATTCATTATCGTTGCAAGAGTAAAGTGATACAACTGAAGTGTTCGCAAAAAAAAAAAAAAAAATGACGCATATTTTTGACCTTTTTACAAGCATGAAAATTAAGCAATCTCCGTTTTCCGAAAACGAAATAATTTGGAAACGGGAAATTTTCTTCAAAGTCCAACGTCTAACGGAATTAACGAAAGGAAGAAACTACTACTATCTCTGGAAGAAATTACGTGCAAACAACGTTAACATGTGGGTTTTACACCTATACAGAGAGATAACGTCCATTGAAAAAAAAAAATCAAATTGCAAAACACATGAGGAAACTCCTAAGCATGCACGATGTGTAAAACTAGATGGAAAAACTTATGGAACAACACAAGCAATCATATTCACAGTTTATAAACAATGGTGGACCTTGCTAATTATGTCCACTGAAATATTATAGATTCTAGACCGGCAATAAAAGGGTGAACGAATAGAACACATTGTGTCCAACTAACATCCCAACAGACTGTGAAGTGTACATACATGAAAACGGAAAACAAAAATTTGAACAGTCGCGTAATTGAATACACGCAGAGTGCAAGTGCCAAAGGCATATAGCGGTCTTCCTTTGTTGAATTAAACTCAACCCCGGTGCAATTAAACAACTCTCTTACCCGTTGGTGGTCGGCCTCATGGAGTCCCATTTGTTTCATAGTTGCTGCTTACTCCATTGCGTTCGGATGTGATATTGAACAAGAATATAACTCGCTCCCACCCTGTTTAGTGAAGCACCAACCCTACTGATGCCCCTCTAAAATGGTTGTTTCGTAGGAGGCGATGAACACCTTCAGTACCGCTAGATTCTATCATGCATTTGTACGTGTAAAAGAATTAGCTTAATAATAAGTCTTCTAGCTCAGCATTACTTCCAGCTCAGCATTGCTGCATATCAGATACCATATCAGCAACTCACTCGTCTATTTGCCATCATGCTTCCACCACCAATCTGTTGTAATTTTATTCTAACAAACTCCTTGATTTTAGGATTCAATCACACCTGTATAATCTAGAACCTTCTCTTGTAATTAAATACCAGCTCAAGGCTGAATTAATGCACTTGAGTATTGAGCTAAATTCATTATCCATCGATCAACTTTTCTCACTTGGTATCAGAGCAGGAACCTTCAATGGAAAACACCAGTAATCCCCAACAAAACACTGATGCAAATTCTACTCAAGCCTCTTTCTCAAACAGCAACACCAGTGCAGTTCAAGGAAGAAATTACCTTTCACCATTTGGTGTAAACTTAACCTAAAATGTCTCGGTTAAGCTTGACAAAAACAACTTTCTCTTATGGCAAAATATGATCCTCTCGATAATCAGAGGACATGGCCTTGAGGAATTTATTCTGGGGACAAAGTTGTGTCCACCAGAATTCATTGGCACACAGACAGCTGATGAAACCATTCCCAACATTGAAATGACAAGGAATCCAGACTACAATNACCTTCAGTACCGCTAGATTCTATCATGCATTTGTACGTGTAAAAGAATTAGCTTAATAATAAGTCTTCTAGCTCAGCATTACTTCCAGCTCAGCATTGCTGCATATCAGATACCATATCAGCAACTCACTCGTCTATTTGCCATCATGCTTCCACCACCAATCTGTTGTAATTTTATTCTAACAAACTCCTTGATTTTAGGATTCAATCACACCTGTATAATCTAGAACCTTCTCTTGTAATTAAATACCAGCTCAAGGCTGAATTAATGCACTTGAGTATTGAGCTAAATTCATTATCCATCGATCAACTTTTCTCACTTGGTATCAGAGCAGGAACCTTCAATGGAAAACACCAGTAATCCCCAACAAAACACTGATGCAAATTCTGCTCAAGCCTCCTTTTCAAACAGCAATACCAGTGCAGTTCAAGGAAGAAATTACCTTTCACCATTTGGTGTAAACTTAACCTAAAATGTCTCGGTTAAGCTTGACAAAAACAACTTTCTCTTATGGCAAAATATGATCCTCCCGATAATCAGAGGACATGGCCTTGAGGAATTTATTCTGGGGACAAAGTTGTGTCCA